GCTTTAAAAAAAATAGGGGGGTGGCCTGGCCAGCCACATCAGCCAATTCCCTCAGGACTCTGGGATGCATCTCGTCAGGTCCCATAGACTTGCGTATGTTTAGGTTCCTCACATGGTCACAAACCTGATCTCTTACAGTGGGAGGGACTTGCTCCCCCAGTCCCTGTCTTGTGGTCCATCCACTTGAGAGGTGTGGAAAGAGAGGTTGCCGGTGAAGACTGAGGCAAAGAAGTTGCTGAGTACCTCAGCCTTCTCCTCATCTGTTGTTACCAGTTGGCCAGTCTTGCTCACTGGGGGGGTTCCCTTTGTTGCCTCTGTCTCTGGTTCTTACCCATAAGCTTTCAACTTGCTCGTGGCTATTCTCCAGAGACAGCTCTTCACGCTCTATTCATTTCATGATGTAGAGGGCAATGCCTCTGGCCCCTCTTCCCTTGCCTGTCCCTTCTGAACAGCCTGTGGCCATTGATAGCCACACTCCGGTCATGGGATTTGTCCCACCAAGTTTCAGTAATGGCAACTGGCTCATAGCTTTCTAGCAGCACAGTGGGTTCCAACTCCTCCTGTTTGTTGCCCATGCTGTGTGCATAGGTGTAGAGGCACTTCAGCTGGGCTGTCGGCCGTGTCACCTTTTTAGAGGAACACTCCTTAATTCCTTTGAGGTGTTTCACTGGTGTTTTCCCTGTTGACTCCCATTACCTCAAACGCCCCTGGCTCATCTCTGTAAGGCTTCAAGTGTGCTGCAGTGTAGGCAGCACATCTCAGAGCAGCAGGCTGAGGGCCCTCACTAGCACCCCGTCCCTCTAACCTTGGCATGTCATCCCACAGCTTGTCACAGGCAAGCCTGATATTATCCCCCTCCCCCTCCAAGTCTAGTTTAAAGCTTACGTTTGACAACAGGTGAAAGTAAGCTCCAATATTGACTATGCAAAGTCATTCAGCACAGCAGCTCTTTATTTGCATTCAGAGTGAGATCAAACAACTTCAGTAACTAAACTACTACTACTGTGTGTTCTGCTCTGTAGAGCTAAACAAAGCAAAACGATTTGAAAGGCTAATTGGTTCTGGCTTGTACTTTATATAAAACTGTTAGCTAATTCCAGTCCCCTTGCTGGGTACAGCACATAAATTGGGGAAAAAAACCCCAACAAAACCCACTAGACATGGCCTGAGTATCAAGTGTTTATCAGTCCCAAGCTAAAAGTAGAAAGGGGACTGCTCAGGTGTGCTAGGTGCTGCATCCTGGTACACAATTCATCACTAACATTTTGCCTAAAAAGACCCCACCATATAAGAAATACAGACTAAATTTAAAAGTTAAATGCCATTTACTTCATCAGCCTCATTTAAAACAGCCTGTTTCATTTTCCTAATCAAATCCAGTCATTTATTCTAAGAGAGGAATGGCACAGAGGAAGAAGCTCATCGAAAGGCTCCACCGGAACCCAAATCACAGTTTGATGACCTTCGCTTGCTGATCTCCTCCTCCCTACAATTTCCATTGCTAAAATGCTTTTCTGCAGCTGGGACACAGGAAAAACCTCCCCAGGAAGAGAAATTTCTATCATACTTGTTAAGTGTGTGACCACCTTCATGCTTTTATGCAATTTGCTCTTGGGTTCTTTGTACAAGGAGTTAAATAGTGTCAGACCATGCCGAGAGAAATAAGGCTTATAGGCAGCCCAAAGCCCAGGCAAAACACAGGCTAAACCTGCTATTTTTTGCAGTTGCTAAAAGCAGGAAAGAGCAAAACCTAAGAAAGCTTTCTTTGTAGAGCCTCTGGCATGGTATCTCCTACTGAGTTGCTTAATGGCTTGCAGAAGAGGACAGTCTTAACGGAGGGAGAAAGGAAAAAAAAAAAAAACCCAACCTTGCAATGACTGAAGAAAAATGTGCCCACAGCTGACACTTCAATTTCTTGCCTTTTCCGCTCCCCCACACAAACAGGTTGTTAGCAGTAAAACACATTCGTGTTTAAAAGCCTGTGAAAGACTGGAACAACAAACTGTTCTGCTCTGCACGCTCCAATCCTCCTCTTCACACTGACGGCAAGCATCGAGGAGGTGTTGCTGTGATATGCAGAGATTGTAGCTGCAAGTCTTGCTACAGCTGTTTCTTACTAGAGGCCTATAAACTGAGCTACACAACTTAGTTTATACTTCAGGGAGCAGCGCTTA